AGGAGGACAGAGGACCAGGAGGACAGAGGACCAGAATGACAGGAGACCAGAATGACAGGAGACCAGGAGGACAGAGGACTAGAAGGACAGAGGACCAGAATGACAGGAGGACAGAGGACCAGGAGGACAGAGGACCAGGAGACAAGGAGGACAGAAGATCAGAAGGAAAGAGGAACAGGAGGACCTAGAACAATGAGGACAGAGGACCAGAAGGATAGGAGGACAGAGGACCAGGAAGACAGGAGAAAAGAAGACAAAAGATCAGGAGGACAGAAGACCAGAATGACAGGAGACCAGGAGGACAGAGAACCAAGAGGACCAGAAGGAGAGAAGATCAGGTGGACAGAGGACCAGGAGGACAGAAGATCAGATGGACAGAGGACCAGGATGACAGAGGACCAGAGGGACAGAAGACCAGATGGACAGAGGACCAGGAGGACAGAGGACTAGAAGGACAGAGGACCAGGAGGACAGGAGATCAGGATGACAGAGGACCAGGATGATAGAGGACCATGAGGACCAGAAGGACAGAGGACCAGGAGGACAGAGGACCAGGAGGACAGAGGACCAGGAGGACAGAGGACCAGGAGGACAGAGGACCAGGAGGACAGAGGACCAGATGGAAAGAGGACCAGGATGACAGAGGACCAGGAGGACCAGAAGGACAGAAGATCAGGCGGACAGAGGACCAGGAGGACAGACGACCAGATGGACAGAGGACCAGATGGACAGAGGACCAGGAAGACAGAGGACTAGAAGGACTGAGGACCAGAATGACAGGAGGACAGAGGACCAGGAGGACAGAGGACCAGAAGGACAGGAGACCAGGAGGACAGAAGACCAGGAGACAAGGAGGACAGANAGGAGGACAGAGGACCAGAAGGACAGGAGACCAGGAGGACAGAAGACCAGGAGACAAGGAGGACAGAAGGCCTGATGGACAGAGGACCAGGAGGACAGAGGACCAGAAGGATAGGAGGACAGAGGACCAGAAGGACAGGAGACCAGCAGGACAGAGGACCCGAAGGAGAGAAGATCAGGTGGACAGAGGACCAGGATGACAGAGGACCAGAGGGACAGAAGACCAGATGGACAGAGGACTAGAAGGACAGAGAACTAGAAGGACAGAGGACCAAGAGGACAGGAGATCAGGATGACAGAGGACCAGGATGATAGAGGACCATGAGGACCAGAAGGACAGAAGATCAGGTGGACAGAGGACCAGGAGGACAGAGGACCAGATGGACAGAGGACCAGGATGATAGAGGACCATGAGGACCAGAAGGACAGAGGACCAGATGGACAGAGGACCAGAATGGCAGAGGACCAGATGGACAGAGGACTAGATGGACAGAGGACCAGATGGACAGAGGACCAGATGGACAGAGGACTAGATGGACAGAGGACCAGCTAAATAAAAAGAAATATAAAAAAAGGAAGTTGAGTTTTGTCCTCACCCAGTTCGATGGAGATCATGTTCTCCTGACCTGGTTCAGACTTGGCTCCGCCCACTGTGCTGACATCATAAACCACCTGATAGACAGTGGCTGGGGTTGGCTGGCTGGTTGCCGTGGTAACAGCTGTCATGGAAGTGACAGGTCTCTCGTTGGCGGTCTCCTCAGAGATGCCGCTGTCCGTCTCAGACAAGGGCTCAGCGAGCGGCGTGCTACGAAACACCTCATTTGGATCGACACCAAGCAGAATCTCCTCTGATTCGCTGTCGTTTCTTGTGGGCGGAGTCTGGAGGGAAACATATGAGGAGGCTTTAGAGTTCTGAAATGTTTACATTCTGGATCTGTCCAAGTTTGAGATGTAAACAACTGATCTTCTGTTCTTCATCATTTAGACAAAAACTAAACAAGTTTAGAAAAAATCTGAGTGTTAAAGTGGTCCAATGGACCAGAGTCTCAGGGTGGTCCAATGGACCAGAG